GTGAAAGCCGATCCGGCGATCCACAGCGTGACGTTGATGTATTTCCTCAGCGACCAGCACGGATCAGCTCTAGGCATGACGAAGTGGATATCGTCCTCTTTTGGAAGGCCAAACAAAGTAGTTTCGCTTCCACAACGAAACACACAGCGCCTTCACGACATGGGGGCGGGCGGCAACAACAATACTACAGGGAGAATAAAAGTTACGCCTTCTTTCTTTGCGTGAACATTTGGGCGCGTTATGCAAATATTCCCAGATAGTGACGTAGACATGTGGGGGCGTGTTAGAACGAGCCGTTTTAGGTAGGCCTGGTTTACTCTTAACTTTTATAAAGAATATCTCTTTGGATTTGAGACTTTAGTCTTTGCAACTTTACAGATCTTCTTTATGCACCAAGAGCTTGTAACACTTCAAAGAGAAAGGAAAAATTTAAATCGCATCATATGACCCCTTTAAAAGAACCGGTTCAAATACTCAGTCACTCCGTGAAAAACTTCTACTCTTTGCAGTAAAGACCGGTCATCACGCGATATATGCTCTCTATACACAATGTTCAGAATGAAATAAGTTCCATTGTAAAATATAACGTTAAAAATGTGTAACTGTATAAATTAAAAGTAATTTGCATTTAAACTGCAATGCTAAATTATTTACAAAAACGTTTTAATTACATTTATTTACAAAAAAAGCTGTCATACAATCATCTTGGTAAAATTTCTATTATTCGACGGCTTTATTATTAGTCGCTCCATCAGTGAAATCCTCGATTGCGAAATGTTCCCTACTATCTGCTCACTCCGGCTCTCAGTTAACATAATTTCGAGTGGGACATGTCAGAAAGACGGTTCATAGTTCATAGTCGGTGAGCTGATGAGTCGAGAACCGCTCTGACCGATACGTTATTAGTCCCATACGTGAACGAATCGCTTAGAACGGTTTTGTGAACCGGTTCAACTAATTCACTAAAAAGATTCGACTCATAAGAACCATTCTTTCACAAAGCGGGCATTGATACCCACTACCTTTCTTGGCGGGACATATTATTTAAAGAAACGGAAATCCCCACTACTAAGCTGACCGGTAGTTACGACGCGTCCGGCATTCTGTTTACGTGAGCAAGCAGTCCAGGTGGGTTGTTTTTAAAACATTTGTATGTCTTTCATTTTGCTGGGAGGACACGCGGGCTTCGTTTGGAATTTGTTACGCGCGTTGTATGGCAAGCGCCAGAGTCAGTGTGTTTTCCAAACGCATTATGCATGCTTGTATGGTGATAGAAAACGTGCTGATTTAGTAAGCAATATGGATTGTACCTTGCTTAAACTTTTCATCGTTTAAATTGTTATTTAATTCTGGATTGTCATCGTCGAATGTAGCTAGCGTTTTAGAGGAAAGGCCATTTACGTTATCATTAATAGTGCAGCGAGAAGCGTCGGTAACGCTTTTTAACCAGAGAGCTTGTTGCCATACTTCCATATTTGCTTGTTGTTGCCATACTTGCACGTAATTTCCGGGTTGTTTGTTTCATTCAGTGTAGATGTGTTTATGTATAAAAAGCACAGGATTGTCTTCGATGACACGCTTTGAGCCAGCTGTCTGTATTATGGCTACGACTGAATCTTGGTTGCTGTTTAATCTGAAAACAAGTAACGTTACAAGTGTTTACATTGAGGGTGCTAAAAGAACTACTGCTGTACTTCATCTCTAATTTGTTTGGTTTTCATCATGAAATGTAACTGCTGATCATTCGAAATGAAATGAGCTTTATTCTCTTCCTCTCAGGTATGAAAAGGTCCAGATATGAGGACGACTCTGCAACATTACACTTGGCTCAAGAAAGTGGGCAGAAGGCGAATAAGCTCCCTCGATCCGAGGCAAGTTTGTCAGTTACATCCCTTGTATGTTTTTCTCCCACAATAATAATGAAATGTAAAAGGATTTGATAAGTCTTTGTAACCTTGGTTTTGAAATGGAAAGACTGTTTTTAATTTTACACCAGGGTTGGCAAAATTCTGAACTCATTCTGTTTCAGATCATGAGCTGTTGTATATGTAAATATGTATTTACTCTCTAAAAAGGGAGTGTTTTTCCTCTATTGAATGGACATTCATTTGAATTAAGTTCACTACTGTCAAAACAATCAGCAAACAGAAATATTTAAAATTCAATACAGCGTCACAAAATGTGCACCAGCCTTTTTCAGGTATATAATATAAAATAAACGTAGACATCTAGGATAAAAAGTAGGGGTGGAACGATACATGTATTCGTACCGAACCGTCACGGTACGGACATCTCGGTTCGGTGCGTGAGGCCTTACAACGAATACAGGCAATGCAACGCTGTTTGATAACCGGCCGCCAGCAGAAGAACAGCGAATGCCATGAGTTGCGCACTTGAAAACAAAGCCCACTAGACAGTGACCATGTGCTGACTCTGAATGCGTCTCTCACAGACTGACAAAGGAGTATACTTTAAAGTCTTGTGCACTCAACTGTTTGCGAAATGGAGCTTTGTGCTCGTGTATCCTACCTCTCTTAGTTTTCATTGTGACAGCTTTTGTAAAATAAAGAAAACAAATAGGATATCGCTTTCTGCCATTTGAGTTTCCTTTTTGTGAACAAATTAAGCCTATCACAAAAATGAACTGAAACTCAGCATATATAGGATACGTTACGTGTCGGAGGTACGTACCGAACCGTGACATCTGTGTACCGTTCCACCCCTAGTAAAAAGCATTCTGGAAAATGTCACGTCATGTGCATATTCTTCTGCCATAGTCCATAAAATTAAAGCTAATTTATTTACAGTTTGTCATTGATATAAAGGTGGTCAGATCTTTTACTGACTGTACACTATTCTACTTATTACATGGCTACTTTTGAAATTGAGTTATTGTATTTTTTTTAAATGTTACAAAGAAGAAAGAAACTCATACAGGTTCATTCACCCCAAAATGAAAATGCTGTCTTAAGCCCTGTTCGCACAGGATTAGTATTATCTGGGGACCTTGTGTGATTTTGAAATCACAAAATTTAAAATTCACCCCCTCCCCCCACATCTGAATTTTGTGTGGTGCATTCGCACGGGATAAGCGAAGCCTGTGATTTTACTCGAATTTACTGACTTACCTCCCGGATACGATGTCAAGGCTTTGAGAGTCCCGTTCTATGGTCCGGTTAGATGGATAAAAAGAAACTAATGTAGTTTCGTGCGCTGTGTCATTTACATTTCACCAGGTTAAAATAATATCTCAAGCTTTATGCTTGATTTATTTGTAACGCATTAACCTCAAAATCTTTTCAGCTTTCTCTTTCTGGCAATTGTATGGTGTAGCAATATAACAGCACCCAAAATACTATCAAACATTCCAACGCAGCTCCATTCTTTGCGAAAGATGGATAAAAAGGCGCACAGGAAACAAAACCCTCAAAATAATATACGATCCGCCAAATGCTGGCCAAATCACAGAGATGCCGATTCGCACGGGACTAATATTATCACAGGACCTTGGTGTTCGGCAAAATATGGTAGGTCATTTGCGGGGGAATTTTTACTTAACAAATTACAGACATGGCCGATTCGCACGGGATTAAGATCACAGACAACCTCCGTAATTATTACAAATGACTGGAGGTCACCAAGTAATACTAATCCTGTGCGAATAGGGCTATATACTCACACATAAGCTGTTCCGAACCTGTATGAGTTTCTTTCTTTTCTATAACATTAAAAAAAAACACACATTTTGAGTAATGTGAGTAACCAAACCGTTAATGGATCCCATTGACTACTATGGAAGTCATAGAGACATAGGGTTTTATAATGGGATTTTTCAATTCATGAGTAAGCCTGTGGTAAACAACGTGACGATACTTTGACGTTTTGTTCTCCAATGTAAATTACACGCATCCATCCAAAACACAAATTTTGAAGCAGTCATGTTCGTTGTTGTTTTTAATAAGTAACTAGATAAGAATGTTGGCAGTGTAAGTGTGTGCAATTTATATTGTGATTGGCCTTGCAGCCAAACAAAACATGCAAAAAATTTGAGTATTAATTTACATGTTCTTGATCTGCAATCCATGTATGTGTTACCTCAATTTAAATTCAATATTGAATGGTGTACAAACCAGCTGTACACTTGTGTGTATATTTCCAGAACTGCATATGATCTCACCCCATTCGTAACCTGTTTATTGATAGATTGAAAAGATTATTTCAGATAAGGTTGTGACCGCAGTCGAGCAGTCTGACTACAAGATGAAGAATCTGATGGAGAGAATCGGTGAGGTGAATGGTGAACCCAGATATGATGCTAGAATCAAGAATCTTGACGTAAGTGACCAGCTTTCCCATTTCTGTGGACTTTAGTATACTAATATAAATAAATATATATTTATATACTAATCCATATTACTGTAGTGCCCTGTTGGGCCAGTATATTATAACCACCATACACATTTTCTATGTTAAATCCGTTTTTTGGTTTTTTTTGCAGGCTCATGTAAGGAAAATAAAACGAAGGGGAGATGCAGTATTTGCATATATCAGAAAGTTCAGATCTTTAGGGATTTCTCAGAGTCAGGTATGAGCTAGATGATGAGATTTTTTATTTTTTTTTGTAGAACCAAGGTTTGACAATGATAATACTAAGACATTTATAAAGCTGACTTCTATTGTTGTTATTATGCGTAACTCCTCACTGTTGTGTTTTTCGATCTTCTTAACAGTCTCCTCCTTCTGTAAGTCCTCCTCCTGTGCAGCCCCAGCGATGCATCTCTCCAGCGGAACCAAAAACCGATATATCCAGGTATTCTAAAGTAGGCCTATTTTAGACCTATAACAAACTTCATTCATAATACATCACTGGCACCAATAAAGTAAAATATTGCCTTTGAAGGGGCTTTCGGTGTTAATTTAGCTGTGGATCTGTATACGCTTTAATGCTGCAGACTGATGGAACTTGAAAATGATGCAGAAGCAGTGAGCCTGCTGTTTGAATGACAATCACTAAAATATTCCATTTACTGTTTAATCAGAAGATATTCTAATAGAATGATCAAAGTTAAATCATCTCAGCAGTCCCCCTGTGGTCCTTTTTCTTTTCGGTGGGTTGTTTTTAATTCAGTAATGATTCAAGGCTGCAGTCTTGGCACCTTTCCATTTCTTTTCTTTCCCTGAGGCATTTCTTCACTTTCATGTGTGGCTGTTGTAGCCTTATAAACTAGCGTGCTTCACTGAAGAGGCGTTCATTGCTGCTTAATGTTTGTGTTCCAAGGCCAACGAAGCATACTTGTTCAAACCAATGATTACAGCTATTTGTTATCCTAGCCATCTGCTTAATTGTTGAATTACCGCAATCACAATTCACTGTAAGAACTCAAATGGCTTTTCTGTCCCCAAATTGCCTTACAGTGATTTAAATGTGATTTCATTTTAATTTTTAATAATAAAACCAGCCCAAACATTGCTCTGTTAGATTGATCTGCTAGAGATGCAGCAATATTAATGGAGTCCCGTTATGATTTTTTTTTACATTTACTTCCTTTACTAGTGTGTAATGTTGTTTTGCATGAAAAAGATCAGCAAAGTCCACTCCAATAGGAGTTATTCTCCATATCAGTAAGCACTCTTTCTGAACTCCCTCAAACACTTTGAGTATAGTCCTGAGTTTTCCACCGGGAATTTATATGTCACAATATCCCTCATTTAAATAATTCCCACCCAGGGCATACATCAGAAGATAAGAGGGAGCGAGGCCTGGTTGATTTGCGTTAGTTGTGTGTTATCACCATGTCCAAGAGACGCTGTTTCACAGATCTAATATACTGATACATGTGCGGCTGTTTATGTTCACAGACATAAACTGACTGTGTTTATGTGAACTTGTGTGTGCATTTCACAGTTGATGTGAAGTTGACATTCTCAGGACACCTGAGATTTATATTACGTCTTGTAAAAAGGGGCATAATAGGACCTCTTAAAAGTATGACCTATATCATTAAGCCAATATTACAATTGAGACCGTTAAAACACTTAGAAATAAAATGTTGTTTTAAATGTTATACAAGTGAATTTAGTCATTATAACATTATAATCTATAGCAGCGGTGGCGAACCCCGGTCCTGGAGAGCCGCAGCCCTGCAGAGTAGAGCTCCAACCCTAATTACAACACACCTGCCTGTAGCTTTCTAGTAACCCTTCAGACCTTGATTAGCTTGTTCAGGTGTGTTTGATTAGGGTTGAAGCTAAACTCTGCAGGGCTGCGGCTCTCCAGGACTGACGTTCGCGACCCCTGATCTATAGTATGAAAAATGGACATTATATTTTTTGAGTTGCTATATATATATTATATATATATCTTTTTTTTTTTTAACTGTGCTATTAAATTAGTGTTTTTAAAGATTAATTTTAAGTGAGCATTGGGAGATCAAATTGTAAAAAAGGCATTTGTGAATGGACAATTAATATCCAAAACAAATATTTTATTTCATTATTTTTAATGTTATTTCATTTAAATGTCTTGTTGGAGTGCAGAATGCTGATTTTTTTTTGTTGTTTTTTTTTGTTTGTTTTTTTAAACCAGAAGTTCAGTCAATGGAGGGTGTTTCAGTGACAACGCTTCAGTGTCATCAGCAGGTCTCGTTGCTATTTTCATTATTTATTCTAACTTCAGCGATGTCAAATGTGTATATACTGTGACGTAATAAAATGATTGTTTTTGCACTAACAGACAATGATTGTGAGATGACCACATTGAGACGACCAAAGAAAGGGTTTTGGCAGAGTTTGGAAAAGGTTTCTTTCGATGTCTCATCATTATCAATCATTATTTGGCTTTTGTTTATTCTTGGAATATTTGTATTTTTATAGTTTTGTAATATGTGGCTCATGTGATAACATGATCAGCCTTTACTGGGGACTATAGATTACCATGGTTCATATATGTGACCCTGGACCACAAAACCAGTCATAAGGGTCATATAAATATGCTTTCCATTGGTGTATGGTTTGTTAGGATAGGACAATATTTAGCCGAGATACAACTTTGAAAATCTGAGGGTGCAAAAAAAATCTAAATATTGAGAAAATCGCCTTTAAAGTTGTCCAAATTAAGTCCTTAGCAATGCATATTACTAATCAAAAATTAAGTTTAGATATATTTACGGTAGGAAATTTACTAAATATCTTCATGGAACATAATCTTTACTTAATATCCTAATGATTTTTGGCATAAAAGAAAAATCGATAATTTTGACCCATACAATGTATTTTTGGCTATTGCTACAAATATACCCCAGCGACTTAAGACTGGTTTTGTGCTCCAGGGTCACATATCTACTTCAAAAGGAAAAAATGTTCTCTTTTCATTTTAGCGGTCTAAGAATCAGGTTGTTGACCTTACGGAAGACAGAGGTATTTGATCTTGAATAAAATGATGTTATAAAAAATGCGCTGTTGTATAGACTGTATGGTGGGCATGATGTGTTTTTGTTCTGGTTCAGCAGCCAGACTGAATGAAGAGAGCCTGGTTACCCAACCATCAGATCAGGTATGCCATCATCCTCTCACTCAGGTTTCTCTCATTCTAGATGTGCATTTTCAGACTGTTTCATAGCCGTTTTATTTGCACATTTGTGCTGTGCAGAAATCGGAACCTTCAAAACGGGAACAATCAAATCCCTCAAGTACACCACCTATAGCCATTAAAGGTATGATGCCATTGAATTTGTCTAGTTTGTTTTTGTTATTTTCTTTTTTTCAAAAATTATGGTTAATTCAAGACATAAACAATTCTTTAAGTCTTGTTTTAATGTCATTTTATTTAATGAACAGAAGAAAAACAAAATGTAACGGAGGAGGACCGTGTCAGTTCTTCAGTACAGTTGGAAGAGGTATGCTAATGTTTTGTATGTGCTACTACATCGACAAGTTTATATCAAAACAGCCTTAACATTTCGGTTTCTACCTTTCCTTCATAGGAGGACTGGCACTCCAAACTCCATCCGTTCCCAGAGACTCCGTTTCCCAAAGAGCTTCCGGTTGTAGCTGCAACTTACAACTTGCCCCAGAAGCCAGTGGTGAAACTAGCTCGGATTGGAAGCGCACAAGAACTAGGCATCGCGTGGACCGTGGATCAGAAAGATCCCCATGTAGCAGAGATGAATTGCTACTACATTTACGTTTCCCACGAACACAAAAGCGGCACTTTTTCAGGATGGAAGTGCCTTGGAGAGATCAAAGCCATGCCTCTTCCTATGGCCTGCAAGGTGTCCGACTGCAAAGGAGATAAACGACTGTGCTTTATCGTTGTGGGGAAGGATATATTTGGCCGTTATGGGACGTACAGTGACATACGCACTGTGGCATCAGGACAAATATGATTTGGGCGACATTTCTCCAGTGTGTTGAAACTTCTGTTCGTATAAGGTTTGAAGGAGTATGAATGTGACTCTTTATACTAGAATTTCGAGTATTTAAGATTTGAATTTCTTAAAAGATGTTAAGTTGGGTACAAATAAAGTTAAAGCTGCTGTTTTTACCTCCATTTTTGTATTTCTAGTTTTTTTCTTTCTCTGAAGAATTTTTTTTTGTTGTTTTTTAGTATCAGAACGTCATTCCACTTATATGAATCACACTAACACAAAAGTATTAAAGGAACTGCTGTCTTGTATTGTTTTTATTGGTTATAAAGTTACAAACTGATTTCATTTGTCTCTGGTCTTCATAATATGAGGTCTTCAGTGGTTTGAGTCAACAAAGCAATCACTAGCCATAATAGACAGTGATCTAATGTAAGCAGCAGAAAACATTTCAGACGTTTGTTTCAAATGGAAATATAACATTATATCAGTCATTCTCAAAAATCATGACTTCTGACTTACAAATGTTAAAGTTATGAATTCAGTTCAGTTCCATTTTCTGCCATAAAAGATGATGGTAGTTGTTTATTATCTTCATTTTTTACTTGACATTTTTTACATTTCACAGATGAAGCAAGTTTTGTAACAATTGTGACATTAGATACATTTTCTTAAAATAGTGTCAATAGCATCTGAAAGCAGACCAAATTACAATGATATTTTTCAGTAATTATTCACACAGTTGTTTACACAAACATAAAAAAAGGTTACACCAATAACGTAAATGAAGTGGGCAAAAAGGTACATTTATACCTTAATATTTTGAAATGGGGAATTGTCTGAACACATTTGAGCAGCCTCGCCTTCTGTTGAATGTTAAGCTTCAAAGTACTGTTCCACAACAATTTCATTTTGAGAACACTTATTTCCAACACTGAATGAAATTAAAATGTTCCACTAGATTATTATTATTAGTGACTTTGTTTTGAACACTTTGTATCTTGCATTAATGCTTAATAATGCTCAATATAGTCAAACGATTGCTTTATGACAAAATAAAGCATATGTAATATTTTGGCAAATTTATTTTGCATGTTTTTTTTTACATTTGACATTTTTTCATGACTAAAATGCCTCCAATCATATTTACTGCCATATTTTGAGATTGATCCAACAGTATTTGCTGTACATCAGAACAGGAAGAGTCACAAACCGTCCGTTAATGTAAAATACATTTATTTGATTTAAAAAAAAAAAGAACAATATTGAGCCCTTGGTGGGGATCAGTCTCCAGAAACAGACCTGACCTGAACAACTCAGCAGACATTTAAACACAAAGCTGCCATTGTGGTTTCCTTCCGATTACAAAAGCCTTCACTAATATTCATTAAAACCTTCTGAAAATTAAGCATTATACAAACACGTTCAGGCCTGTTGATATAATACTTCCTTACAAAAATATTAACGGCAACAATGCAGTTAGTCTTAATAAATACAGCTTAACTTCACTTTCACCTAAATAATATTAGCTAATTGCTTCTTATTACATGGCAGATTTAAGGACGAAATGATTACACAAGGAAAACTGAAACCATTGGTGTGCTTCTCCAACACCATCATCTTAAGGTTATTTGCATGAATATGACATAAATCTCAAGTGCCCTAATCAAACAGAATGACTAAAAGAACTACAAATCTGTACTTTTGTTAATAGTGATTTCAAATTGAATGCTGCAAACAAATACAAAAACATGCAATGTAATTAGTCAACACTAAAAGACTATTTTACAAAAAAAAAAAAAAAAACCTACACACGAGAACACATCGTGCCACTAATATTGATAATTTGTTCAGCTTCAAGTATGATATAGTGCTCAGCAAACTGGCAGCACAATATTTCATTCAGATTTAGTTTTGAATGACTTTTTCCCCAGGCACATATAATGACCAGGAAACATCACACTAGCATGTTATTTACCACACACTAAGTGTTACATAGAAGGCCAATTTCACATCATGCATTGTGTATGAATACATGTTGAGCCCATAGTGGTTCCACGTTATAAATATGTCCTATTATATCTCCCACTCTTGTCTTTTTTTCCACGCCCTATTTTACCTCTCTAAATGACAGCACTTCTTTTACTGGGCAGGTAGAGCTAAATTATACACAACAAGGTTAAAAAATGTGACATACTATGAATAAAATCTAATTAAGTTTCCAGTATGCAGTGATTAATATTATAAGATCATCTACTTCATTCTAACTTTGGCAAGTATTTAATCTACATATAAAAACAAGTATCATTACAAATAAAGTCTCTTGGCTAAGGCTGTAGCTAGTGGCAGCTAGTGAGGTGGTGTGTTGTGCTTTATTTGCGTTTTCTTAGCACTAGATACATCAAGCCGCTCAGCAGCGTCATGGGGAACGCGACCCAGGCCACGACAAAGGAGTATCCGTAGTCTCCATTCTTAAAATGCTTCTCTTTGAAGCTTAAGTGCTCTGCTGTGTAGATGGATGCGCCGGTCATCACACAGAAAGCTGTGGAAGAAAAAAAAAGGGCAATTTACAGTTGGTTGGTAGTATTTAAAGGGATAGTTCACCCAGAAATGAAAATTTTGTCATTAATTACTCTCCCTCATGTTGTTCCAAACCCATAAGACCTTTGTTCATCTTCAGAACACAAATTAAGATATTTTTGATGAAATCTGAGAGCTCTCTGACCCTCCATAGACAGCAATGCAACTGACATGTTCAAGACCCATCATTAAAATAGTCCATGTGAAACCAGTGGTTCAAACTGTAATTTTATGAAGCTACAAAAAATACTTTTGTGTGCAAAGAAAACAAAAATAAAGCCTTCATTCAACAATTTCTTCTCTTCAACGTCAGTCTTCGACGCGCTTTCAGGAAAGTAACGCTGAAGTCAGAAGTCAGCGTTCCGAGATAGAACGTCCATCTCTCTTAGTTCATCGTCTGTATATTCCAGTGCTATCTCACGACCAATTCGTATGTATTTTACGATGTGGCTAATTCGTACGAATTTGTACGACCTCACTCGTACGATTTTGTACAATTTGTCTACACCCCAGTGGGTTTATGGGCGGGGTTAGGTGTACGTCATTCTTACTAATTCATACGAATTGTGCAACTTGTAAAATACGTACGATTTAGCAAAAATCGCATGAATTTGTACGAGTGAGGTCGTACGAATTCGAACGAATTAGCCACCTCGGAAAATATGTACAAATTGCCGTGAGATCGGGCTGTATATTCTGGTTCGAATAAGTAAGGCTGGGTAAAAAATTGCAAGTCATCCTCTCTGTTGAAATCTTCAGACATGTTTACGAATGATGATGTTTGCGTGCATCTTCCTCTGCTTGTAAACTGAACGGCGGTTCCTGCATCAGCAGCACCACACGCATGCGTCATGGTACTCTCGTGAATGCGCAGCGGAGAATGACACAGAAGAGAAGAAATTGTTGAATAAAGTTGTTATTTTATTTTTCTCACAAAAAGTATTCTCGTAGCTTCATAAAATTACGATCGAACCACTGATGTCACATGGACTATTTTAAGGATGTCCTAGCTACCTTTCTGGGCCTTGAACGTAGTAGTGCCCTTGCTGTCTATGAAGGGTAAGAAAACTCTTGGATTTAATCAAAAATATCTTAATTTGTGTTCCGAAGATGAACGAAGGTCTTACTTACTTAAGGTGAGTAATTAATGACAGAATTTTCATTTTTGGGTGAACTATACCTTTAACACAGCACAGGCTATTACTTGACAGATAAAGATTCAACATTCAACAAACAATACAATAAATACAAACATATTATGAAATTAAACTTTTTGTAAACACAAAAGATTTTCTAAAGGAATAGTTTACCCAAAAATACAAATCTGAGGTCATCCCAGATGAGTTTGTTTCCTTGTTGGAACAGATTTGGAGAAATGTAGCATTACATCAGTTGCTCACCAATGGATCCTCTGTAGTTAATGGGTGCCGTCAGAATGAGAGTCCAAACAGCTGATAAAATCTTCACAACAATCCTCAAGTAATCCACACAACTCCAGTTCATCAATTAACTGCTTGTGAAGTGAAAAGCTGTTTGTTTGAAACAAAATCATCAAGGTGTTTTAACGTTAATCCGTTTTAATGATCACCTGTTGTCCTCTAACATCACAGTCCATCTACATATTTGTTTAAAACTGTTTTTGACTATTTTCGTTATGAATACAGGACTCACGTTTTAGCTAGAAGAAACGTTTTGAAGTGGAAAAACGACTAAAATAATGGAGTCGTTTCGGATTTCGCTTCACAAGACATTAAGTGATAGACTGGAGTGGTGTGAATTACTTGTGGATTATAGTGATATTTTTATAAGCTGTTTGGACTCTCATTCTGACGGCCCCCATTCACTGCAGAGGATCCATTAGTGAGCAACTGATGTAATGCTAAATTTCTCCAATTCTGATCTGAAGAAGAAACAAAATCATCTACGTCTTGGATGATCTGAGGGTGAGTAAAATTTCAGTTTTGCATTAACTATTTCTTTAGATGTACATGTGATTAAAAATGGTAAAGATTTTCCATCTTACAAAATAAGTCCTTCAAAACTGGGTCAATTTGCATACTAGAAAGATGGCATGAAAATAACAGTACAAATACTTCAAGGTGCTTCAAGACCCCTCTTGACCTATGATTTTGCGTAATGAATGATTTTCTTTGCACAGTACATAGGCAATAAGGAACGGCAATTGTGCTGCTAACAATGATTAGAAATATATACTGTGGGCATGAACTCACCAGACAAGAGCTGGATGATGGCCGTGAAGACAAATCTCTCGCCCTGCTTCAGACGGAAGAGCTGAAGGATGAAGACAAAGAAACCCACACAGCACAAGATCGTGGCCAGTATCATGGTGGCCTGGACAGTCTGAAGATAGGCTAATAAAGAGGAAGAGAACATGACACAAGGTTTATTTATGTATGTGTAAACATACCTGGCAATAAAGCTCATTCTGATTCTGATTCTGATTCTTAGATTGTATGATATTCAAGGCTTACCTGCATCAGAGGTTGCACTGTTCGGTATATCATAACAGCCTGTGGAGTTGCAGTGATACCAGAGATCTAAGGTGTAATCCTCCCAAACCCACCATACCTTGAAAAGATGGAGAATATATATTGACAGAATATAAACTCAGAGAAAAAATGTCCTTTTTCATGATACTGTGTTTTAAAGATCATTTTGTAAAATCCAAATAAGCTTTGCAGATTTTTATTAGAAAGTATATAATATACATACATATATAGAAAAGTGTATTTCTTAAATAAAATGAATACAATTATTATAGCAGTACATTTTACAGTATGCGCTGCTGTAGATCAATAGATTATTTGAGGTTAACCTTATCAGAAATGGTGCTCGATGTGTTAAGCTGGGTTTTTGCTGAAATCCCTAACAATAACACTGAGCAGTAACAGTGCTTATAGCAGACTAATAATAAAAAAAAAAGACTGAAGAAGATCAACTTACATTTCTGATGGTTGCTATGAAGAGTAGTATTGCTGAGGTGATGTGGAAGAGGACGATGGAGGCCAAAATAATCAACATAGCTGATGGTGGAACAGAAAATCAAAAGCAGGAGAATCTGGAGGGGAAAAGGAAGATACAAGAATGTTATAAAAATCCTGTTAAATGAATACAAAGCTGAGACTGAGAACGGGAACTGTTGTTTTCTGCTTCTCTTGGTGGGAAAATCACCATGTGCCCATCTGAACAACCTACTCTTATTCTGCACTTTGACCTTGGAAGTATTTTTCCACAAGTATTTTTTTTTTTTTCACCAATGACAAGAAATCAAAAGATAAACATTATTTTTAAATTATTTGGTAACACTTTACAATAAGGTTCCTGTTAACTTAAATACATTACATGAGTTAAGAATGACAAATACCCCCAAAGCATGCATGTAACAATCTTAGTTTATGTAAATTTGAAATTATTACCAATAATACCAGAATCTGTTAACATGACCTGAGTTAACATGAATTAACA